TTAAAGGATCTGCTGAAGAGTCCTTGCCAACCCTCGGAATGCCATTCGATACAATTATGTGTCTAATGAACTGGGCGATTGAGGGTGTTTTAGTAAATTCGTGTTGAGCGATATAAAGGATCGCTTGTGCGGAGATCAAAAGCGAAACCGAGACGAAGACCACCAAGCCAAATGAATTTTCCGCTTTGATCCTGCCGTGGCTGCTCACCATTGTAACAGCTAATCGCACCAGGTGACGGATGCGTCGGCTTGTCGGGCCTCGAGAATCAGGGATATATACTATATAGTGACAAGGGAATAGTTCGGAGGTGTCTCTTTTCATGCGCCCGTGCATTGTGCGAAAAGTAGCAGTTTCCTCTTCTCTGCTTCTCGCTTTGGACCGCCTTTTGTGATCTATGTGGGTAGTCCTACGTGTTTCTATTTTTCGGGAGGTCCTTTCTCTCGATGGGCTACGAAATTTTGTTGCATAGACACTGTACAATTTGCTTTTAAATTGCCGACAAATTGGTCGTAGCCGAGGGCCACCAACATTGATTTTTGATCATGATTTTTAACCATTTAAATACACTAACTAGAGCTCACTCTTAAGTTAGTATGAAAAACTAAAATCCACATACCATGTACATGACATGCACATATGGGTCCCAAAGGCAATTTGCAACGGATCTCAAATTCTTTGACCCGAAATTGTAAGGATCTGGAAACGAGGACAGAGGATCAAGCAGGAACATGTAGCCCATTTGAAACGGTTGATTGGGTTTCTAATAGGATTTATGTCCTGCCAGGATCTTTCATGTTTCGAATTGATTCGTTGCACTCGGTTGAGATTCAATAATGAGCTCATCTGTTCGATCGAATGCGTTTGTTTTCGTTTGCCAATGTTCCAGGTAATCCAGCCAGGAAATTTCAATTTCTCCGCTAGCATTTTATTCGCTTCCATGTTTATTTAGGATATTAATTGGTGATTGGCCTACTTTATGATAACCGTTTTTTGGTCTAAGCTGGAATTATTGTTTAAGTAAAACAAATATTTGGAAATTTGAAAGGAGTTGGCTAGCTAAAAAGTAGGTGTCCAAATCTGTGTACTTCTTAAGACTTAAAATTTTTAAGAATTTAAAAAAATATCAATACTAAAGGGTTCTTTGATTGACTTTCTGATTCCTATTGTAAAAAATTTCTAACTTTACTCATTTATTTTATACAATTTTCTAAAAATTATGATTATATAATTTATTTAATAACTTAATATGATTTTCAAAAATTAAATTTTAACAAATAATCACTTTGAGTTGAAAAGAAAATCTTTCTTTAGGTACCTACATATGTAAATCGCTTTACAATTTGACTTGATATTTATGATCTTTCATTATAACCATATTATTAACAATAATTTCCCTTTTACCAAAAATCTTCATTTGACTTGAACTGAAAAGACACTGAAAAGAGGGATTATGGCCTTTTGCCCCGTTTGCATATTTGGAATAATTACTGAAGTATTGTCCACTACTAAGCCGCTGGCAGAAACCTTTTCACGGGACTGCTCATTGTTCTGCCGCAGCACAGAGAATAATACTAAAAATAATTAAAATTTCAAATCCAGTAAATTGCTAAATTTCAACTTACTACCTAAGTCCATTGAAATGTGTATTTTCTCTAATGTCAGTTTTATGTTTGCTTAAAATTTAAGCCTTAAGTTAACAAAAAAAAACATTTAAGAGTATTTAACCAAACCATTGTGAAATGCCTTATTTTAATTTAAAAACAAATACAAACTTTATTTATTCGGGCTGCAAGTCAGTAGTTTAATTTAGTTGCTATTCCACTCTATAGTATATTGTCAAGCAGAGGTGCTTAAATTCGACTTACGGCAGAGTATTTATTTACACAAATAAAAGAATGCGTGCACATATGCGGTGATGCTTTTGTATTGGTTTGCAGATTTACACTGAGAGAAAGCAAACAACGTTTTTTGCTAATCAATTTATCAGTTGTTTTGAACACTATCGCGTCGATAATCCACTGAGAAATAAGCTCAAAATTGCAAACCAAAGTTACAAAGGACGATCAAGGAAAAAAACCAAAACAAAATATAATATATTACAGTTAGTTCGGAAATGAGGCGGAAAGAGGAAAACGAAAAATAGTCTACTGCAAAATAAGCTCCAAAGTGTAAACAGAAGTCATGGTAAGGAGTTCCAGTGGAAGTATTCGAGGCTGATCGAGAAAGAAACAAGGACAGTTATCCACGGAATGAGGCGGAAAGAGGAAAAAACAAGCTGCGAGCGCTCAAAGCTTATGGGCATCCGCGTTGAGCCTTGTTTTGACTGCAAAATACTCATTATTTAGGTTTGTAAAAAAAAACATTAACAATTTTACAAACGCACATACATACATATATGTATTATAAATCCTTAAGAATCCTTAAATTTGGCACACTTTTTAAATATTGGTCTGGTTTAAAATATATGTATTTCGTAGATCGAGGCATGAGCAATAAAAAAAATAGACTTATTAATGGTCAATATTTATTAATTATTTAGATTAAATACATATACTTATATGCAAACATTTATACGTATTTATTATATATATTTAGATCTATAATAAGAACTACACCATATTTTTCTCTTCCAATTTACATTCTAGTACCATGAAAAAGTGAATACAATTGTCTTCTCACTAAGATATCCCGTCCTTGTTATTAATTCGTTAAGTATTTCTCAAGAATTTCAGGACAAATTTAGATTGGCGTAATAATTTCAATTTGCACAGAGAACGTGCTTGGTTCTAAGAACTCTTATTTAGTTTTACTTTGAATAGAACTTTTGCTTCGGTTATATTTCGGCAAACGTTTGGAACGAATTGATTCGCCTTGGAAGTTGGCGGCAATGTCGCCAAAATACAATTATTCATCGAGCACGTAACTGACTTTTCACCCAGTAAAAGAAAAAGAAAAAAAAAATAATAGAGATCGAAAAATAAAGAAAATTCGGCAATTGTGAACAGGAATATTCAGGCGTTGCAAATTGGAATATGTACTGTACAGGATGCATAAGGATCGGGGGTGTATTTGTGGACATGCAACGTTTAGTGTGACTCTACATCCCTCAAGAATCCTTATAGACAATAACCCATGCTGAGCCCTTTTCGGGACACAAAAAAGATCCTGCACACTTCTTCTGTTCGTTCGGCAGCGATCCATACTTGTTGTTCGGGTCACGTCACGGCTTTTACCAACGGCACCCATTTGACATTTGACAATTATTCATTTTTCGTTTTTATTTCTTAGAAATAAACCTCGGCCGCATCGCTACGAATCGATTGGTTCCAAATCGTTGCAATTGAATTGCTGGAGTTTGCCTTTTTGACTGGCTTTTTGGCATCCTGTTACCATTTAGTTTCAGCTGTTCGACACGATCTATTTGGTGTTTTACGCTTATTTCTGGACGAACAAAGTTTTAGCCTTGGTTTGTGGAGAGTTTTGGTTATGCGTAAATTGAAGTAAATCGAAATACTCCTACAAAATGATACGGTGGAAATCGCAATTTTCACGTTAATCCTAATTATCCTTTTGGACTTAATTGCTTAATTAGAGAACTATTCGAGTGTGGTGTGTCGCAAAGGCTGGACTGAAGGTGTACTTTATGGATTGCTAGAACGAATTCGATTTTGATATCAGTTCAGGTTTAATTAATGCAGGATAAGATATGGTATGTGGTGGGTTCGATTCATGGTCGGCTTTTGTCTTTGATTGTTCTCTTAAGGTTTGACCGCCTTATTTGCGTGATAAGAAAAACGATAAGATACGAAAGGTAACTCTCCCATGGGTATCTTAAACATAAAAGGATATCGTAGGTATTTTTAAATAATTGCAGTTAAGATAGGTAAGGTTGGCGTGATCGAGAGACCAATCAGAGATGGAAAATTCAGTTCTGATGTTCTCCCGTTCTCCACCATTTTATCGCAGTACTTACCAAAAATATATGTACGTTTTCACAGAACTGTTTTTAAACTATTAATTGATCTATTTCTGTCCAAATTCATTGGATTGTGGATTTCTGTCCAAATTCATTGGATTGTGAAAATAATTATAAAATACACAGTTTTAGGTGTGGAGCCAATTAAAAAGGATTCTAATAAAGCAACAAAAGTTGCTAACAATTTTAGTTAATTTTGGTTAAAATGGTATTTATGGTATGGTCAATATGTTAAACTAATAAAAGTCTTCTGCTACTGGTATTTAAAATGAAGCCAAAAAGTTAATCAATTGGAAATGCAGACGTATCTCCTTTTTTTAAAATATTTTTTATCGAAAAAGTACCAATTAATATTGGAAAAGGAGGCTATCTTGGCGTTAATAATTTGCTCCATTTTTTTAAATTAAGTTATGAACTTTTAGTTTAGTTTTTTATTTATTAACTCATGACCATATATTTTCGATACGTATTTAAAAAAGAAATGTTGTTATTGTGGTTTTGCTTTGGTTTTGGATAAAGTAATAAAAAAGTGATAAGGAAAATAAAAGTCCTGGTTGCTTATTTCTAAGCTAATCACAATTAAAGAAAAGCAAAGAATTTTATAAAAACTCAAAAAAAAAGGGCTGAACACTCCATATTTTGAATTAACCACAAGACTTAAATATGGGTAATCTTAATTTGTGAAATGGGATACTAATCCCTTATTGATCTCGACCGCCTCATGTCGTGACTCCTTATTTTCATTACCGATCTTGTTTGGTTTCAAAATAATCAGTTTTAACCAGCCGAAGAAGTACCCGCAGTAATTGCAATTAATTTAGAGCACTCCTAGATAAATTGCCGCAATCGAAAAACGGGTCATGTGAGAAAAATCCGTTGCGATGCAACAGGGCAGGTAACGTGTCCCTACCTGCCCGCGTGAGCGATGACGCATTTCAACCCCTCATCCCTTGGAAATTTCGAGAGCAGGTAGGGAAGGACCCTCCTAGTGGTTGCACCACCATCGGGTATAAAAGACCGGCCAGCTAGACCAATAGCATCATTCGAACTACAGTTCTCCATCCGAGCAGATCATCAGTTACAAATCCTGCAAAATGTGTTCCGAAACCGCTCTTATTTCCAACTTCAACGGAGTGCCAGAGAAGCAATCTTCGCTCACCGGCGCCTCCACCAACATCAAGAAGCTGCTGAAGACCATCAAGAAGATCTTCAAGAACTCCAAGTCTGCAAAGGAGATCCCGATCTCCGACATCATCTACTCCTGCGACACCGAGGAGGAGCACCAGAACTGGCTCAACGAACAACTAGAAGCCAAGGCTATCAGTCTATCTTGCTGAGTTCTTCTGGGACACCTCCCATCCTCCATCGAGTATCTGTGATGTGACCCGATTGAAAGGTCTATAAATCGGCACTTCAGCTTTAATCTCCAACTGTGATGATGAGAACACGAGACTGACTAACTTGTGTGCCTCGGAAACGGCTAACAATGTCGCTTCCTCCAACTGTACATATCAAAATAGCTGCTAAAATGTCTTCAAATGCTTTAATTTAGCCTAAGTTCATAGCTATAATCATTGTCTTCCATTAGCTTTAAGAAAATCATTGTCTTCCATGTTTGTTTGTTTAGGGTCAAAAATTAGCTTAAGAATAAAAATCCCTCGCGGAAAAAGAAAATTTCATTTGGTTATTTCTTTTACCTTTTCTGGTTGCTTAAAAAATTATTTTTCAGAAATTATAAAAACACATAATTTTTCCGAATCAAAGAACAGAAAAAAATCTTTCAGTGTTTTGGTCAAAGCAAGGTCAAGAATGGTTTAAATAAGGAATGTTAAGCCTTTTTGAAATCGGATTTTTAATATGTTAGTTTTTGACATATTTTTCACAAACCATTAATAAAATGCGAAAATTTACCAAAAATGTATTTTATGGTTTTTTGGTTTACGGTTTTATGATTTTAACTGGGAATTTAAGTTTGGTCAAATTATTTAGAAAAAAACTGTTAGGTATTGACAATATGATGGTCTGGTGACAAAAATCAATCCAGTTGGCCCCAGGCCAGAAAGCTTTGATTTGTGATACCTTAGGAAACTATTATTATTATTTATTATGCATTCGAATTAAAAAATAATTTGTATTCTAAAAGGGTTGCACTTTTGTTTTTTATATATTTATTATGTTTACCAATTCGAATAATTTTAAATTACAGTGTCTAGGTAATCATATTAATATTGTATGCAATAATCCAATGTCGCTCTTTATGAAGAACTTTGTCAGGGTGGTAGCCGTTCTCAGCCGTTTGAGAGATTAAATTCTTTGGAAAATATATAAAAATATTTATATTACCGATACTTATTCAGGGGTCTGCAACAGCTTACATGTTTTATATGCCATTTTTGGTTTACTAAAAGTTGATCTTAGGAAGAAAACTGTTTTATATTGAAAAATACATTACACGCATTTGTAATAAAATTACTTTATTATTTTTTTTTTTTTTTAAGTTGAATTGTAAAAACTGTGTAACAGAAAAAATTAAATAAAATATTTGTTGTCAGTACACCTATTTCAATATTTCTAATAATTTGCTATATTTAAAAATATTTTATAAATATAGTAAAACGTGGTGCAAAAATGACAAACTTTTCAAATGCAAAATTTTGTATAATCAATTTCTAGTCAAGCAAAAGACTATCAATTTATTTCTTTTCTTATTTTTGTTCCTCTATGCACCTCAAGCCTCATGTAACGAAATGCCAAACCTACCTGCAAAATATATTTCATCCCTTATGCATTGGCATTTTTCAGAGCAGGTAGAGAGAAACCCACAGAGAGGTTGTCAAATTTGCGGGTATAAAAGACCAACCAGCTAGACCAACAGCATCATTCGAACTACAGTTCTTCATCCGAGCAGATCATCAGTTACAAATCTTTCAAAATGTGTTCCGAAACCGCTCTTATTTCCAACTTCAACGGAGTGCCAGAGAAACGATCTTCGCTTACCGGCGCCTCCACCAACTTCAAGAAGCTGCTGAAGGCCATCAAGAAGATCTTCAAGAACTCCAAGTCTGCAAAGGAGATCCCGATCTCCAACATCATCTACTCCTGCGACACCGAGGAGGAGCACCAGAACTGGCTCAACGAACAACTTGAGGCCAAGGCTATCAGTCTATCTTGCTGAGTTCTTCTGGGACACCTCCCATCCTCCATCGAGTATCTGTGATGTGACCCGATTCAAAGGTCTATAAATCGGCACTTCAGCTTTAATCTTCAACTGTGATGATGAGAACACGAGACTGACTAACTTGTGTGCCTCGGAAACGGCTAACAATGTCGCTTCCTCCAACTGTACATATCAAACTAGCTGCTAAAATGTCTTCAAATGCTTTAATTTAGCCTAAGTTCATAGCTGTAATCATTGTCTTCCATTAGCTTTAAGAAAATCATTGTCTTCCATGTTTGTTTGTTTAGGGTCAAAAATTAGTTTAAGAATAAAAATCCCTTGAGGAAAAAAAAAAAAAAATTATGTCTTATACATTTTTTGGAAAACATTTGAAAGGTTTAAGGTTTTTAAAAAAAATATTTACAATTTCTATCTATTTGTTTGGAGTCCTTGGAAACTGTTTCTTAGAATTCTCTTTTGTATTTTTATTAATTGACATTTATGTTCAATTCGGAGAGAAAATTAAGGAAATGAAGGAACTTACTAATAAGGTACTGTAGAAGGATTGAATCTGTTTCATTCCTCAGAAACTGTTCGGGATTTTCAGGTTCTGAATAGTAAACTTTTGTCCTAAAAACTTATAAATCTTTTGATTAAAGTTTGCCTTTCTAATGTGTAGGTGGATATTATCCAAAAATGATCGTAACATGGAATGTCATACCTCGTTGAATTCGTATTTAAATTCCCCGTCGAACTGTGTACCACACTCAAAAAGTGATTTTTTTGAGAATTTTCGTAAATTTTTATGATGTTACCACTTTCCAAAAATCCGAAAATCGGTCTGTCCCGCTTTGTGGCCTAAGATATCAGTATTTTCTTCATTACGAAGCCAAAAATGATCGTAACATGGAATGTCATACCTCGTCGAATTCGTATTTAAATTCCCCGTCGAACTGTGTACCACACTCAAAAAGTGATTTTTTTGAGAATTTTCGTAAATTTTTATGATGTTACCACTTTCCAAAAATCCGAAAATCGGTCTGTCCCGCTTTGTGGCCTAAGATATCAGTATTTTCTTCATTACGAAGCCAAAAATGATCGTAACATGGAATGTCATACCTCGTCGAATTCGTATTTAAATTCCCCGTCGAACTGTGTACCACACTCAAAAAGTGATTTTTTTGAGAATTTTCGTAAATTTTTATGATGTTACCCCTTTCCAAAAATCCGAAAATCGGTCTGTCCCGCTTTGTGGCCTAAGATATCAGTATTTTCTTCATTACGAAGCCAAAAATGATCGTAACATGGAATGTCATACCTCGTTGAATTCGTATTTAAACTGTGTACCACACTCAAAAAGTGAATTTTTTGAGAATTTTCGTAAATTTTTATGATGTTACCCCTTTCCAAAAATCCGAAAATTGGTCTGTCCCGCTTTGTGGCCTAAAATATCAGTATTTTCTTCATTACGAAGCCAAAAATGATCGTAACATGGAATGTCATACCTCGTTGAATTCGTATTTAAATTCCCCGTCGAACTGTGTACCACACTCAAAAAGTGATTTTTTTGAGAATTTTCGTAAATTTTTATGATGTTACCCCTTTCTAAAAATCCGAAAATCGGTCTGTCCCGCTTTGTGGCCTAAGATATCAGTATTTTCTTCATTACGAAGCCAAAAATGATCGTAACATGGAATGTCGCTGAATTCGTATTTAAATTCCCCGTCGAACTGTGTACCACACTCAAAAAGTGATTTTTTTGAGAATTTTCGTAAATTTTTATGATGTTACCCTTTTCCAAAAATCCGAAAATCGGTCTGTCCCGCTTTGTGGCCTAAGATATCAGTATTTTCTTCATTACGAAGCCAATTATGATCGTAACATGGAATGTCATACCTCGTTGAATTCGTATTTAAATTCCCCGTCGAACTGTGTACCACACTCAAAAAGTGATTTTTTTGAGCATTTTCGTAAATTTTTATGATGTTACCCCTTTCCAAAAATCCGAAAATCGGTCTGTCCCGCTTTGTGGCCTAAGATATCAGTATTTTCTTCATTACGAAGCCAAAAATGATCGTAACATGGAATGTCATACCTCGTTGAATTCGTATTTAAATTCCCCGTCGAACTGTGTACCACACTCAAAAAGTGATTTTTTTGAGAATTTTCGTAAATTTTTATGATGTTACCCCTTTCCAAAAATCCGAAAATCGGTCTGTCCCGCTTTGTGGCCTAAAATATCAGTATTTTCTTCATTACGAAGCCAAAAATGATCGTAACATGGAATGTCATACCTCGTTGAACTCGTATTTAAATTCCCCGTCGAACTGTGTACCACACTCAAGAAGTGTTTTTTTTGAGAATTTTCGTAAATTTTTATGATGTTACCCCTTTCCAAAAATCCGAAAATCGGTCTGTCCCGCTTTGTGGCCTAAGATATCAGTATTTTCTTCATTACGAAGCCAAAAATGATCGTAACATGGAATGCATACCTCGCTGAATTCGTATTTAAATTCCCCGTCGAACTGTGTACCACACTCAAGAAGTGATTTTTTTGAGAATTTTCGTAAATTTTTATGATGTTACCCCTTTCAAAAAATCCGAAAATCGGTCTGTCCCGCTTTGTGGCATAAGATATCAGTATTTTCTTCATTACGAAGCCAAAAATGATCGTAACATGGAATGTCATACCTCGTTGAACTCGTATTTAAATTCCCCGTCGAAGTGTGTACCACACTCAAGAAGTGATTTTTTTGAGAATTTTCGTAAATTTTTATGATGTTACCCCTTTCCAAAAATCCGAAAATCGGTCTGTCCCGCTTTGTGGCCTAAAATATCAGTATTTTCTTCATTACGAAGCCAAAAATGATCGTAACATGGAATGTCATACCTCGTTGAACTCGTATTTAAATTCCCCGTCGAAGTGTGTACCACACTCAAGAAGTGATTTTTTTGAGAATTTTCGTAAATTTTTATGATGTTACCCCTTTCAAAAAATCCGAAAATCGGTCTGTCCCGCTTTGTGGCCTAAGATATCAGTATTTTCTTCATTACGAAGCCAAAAATGATCGTAACATGGAATGTCATACCTCGTTGAGTTCATATTTAAATTCCCCGTCGAACTGTGTACCACACTCAAAAAGTGATTTTTTTGAGAATTTTCGTAAATTTTTATTTTTCCAAAAATCCGAAAATCTGTCTGTCCCGCTTTGTGGCCTAAGATATCAGTATTTTCTTCATTAAGAAGCCAAAAATGATCGTAACATGGAATGTCATACCTCGTTGAGTTCGTATTTAAATTCCCCGTCGAACTGTGTACCACACTCAAAAAGTGCTTTTTTTGAGCATTTTCGTAAATTTTTATGATGTTACCCCTTTCCAAAAATCCGAAAATCGGTCTGTCCCGCTTTGTGGCCTAAGATATTAGTATTTTCTTCATTAAGAAGCCAAAAATGATCGTAACATGGAATGTCATACCTCGTTGAACTCGTATTTAAATTCCCCGTCGAACTGTGTA